CACACACACACTCACACACTCACACACACACACACACACACACACACACACACACACTCACACACCCTCCTTACCTACTTTTATTTTTGAGGCAGGGTCTTATGTAGCCCTATAGTAGGCTTTGAACCTACTATGTGGCTGAGGATGGTTTTAAACTTCTGATTGTTCTGCTTCCACTTCTCAAGTGCTAAGGGTGTAGGCATGCACCAGCATACTCTGTATATGGCGCTGAGGGGAGACCCTGGACCTCATACTTGCTGGGCACGCACTTCAGGCACTGAACGACACCTCTAGCCCCTTTTATAGCATCTTTAATGGATGCTTTGTGATAACAGAAGCTCTTAGTATCGGCAGATACTAGATTGTATCTGAGGCTTACACACTAATGAATTCATGAATTATTAATGTGTGCATTGGTGTTTTGTCTGCTTGCAAGCCTGTGTGAGGGTGCTGGGTCCCCTGGGACTGGAGTTGTCTGTAGACAGTTGTGAGCTGGGAACTGAGCCCTGGTCCTCTGGAAGAGAGGCAAGTGCTCTTAACCAATGAGCTACCTCTCCAGCCCCAGTTCTTTAATGCTTTGTATTACACAGTGATCCTTGGTAGACAGCTGTGTGTTCACTAATTTGCCCAGATGGGAAATACTTAACTTTTTCCATTTAAAATTAAGGAATACAGAATAAAGACTAGATGCAATCTGAAAATTACTCAACAAGTTTTTCAAAATTAGTTTGATTCGGGGCAATGAATTCTGAAACTACAATTTTATAAACTCACATCCTACCTTTCTGGCTGGATACTAATGGTTGTTAAATTTTATATCCATGGATTGTACTATTTGTTTAGTAGTCTTATGTGTTCTTATGTGGTGTGTCCAGGGTATGTAGCTATGTATATGCTGGAGGCCACGCATGTGAGGCCAGAGGCTGATAATGCCCTCTTCCATCACTCTCCACGCAATTTAGCTAGACTAGCTGGCAACAAGCTTCAGGCACCTGCCTGTCTGCCTGCACCCCAGCATGAGGCTACAGCTATGTCCACCAGGCCTAGCTTTTCCACACAGATTCTGCAGATCCAGATTCAGGTCCCCTGTGTTTGCAGAACAATCATTTTACCAACTGAGCTATCTCCTCACTGTGGCTTTTACTATAAATGACATATA